ATTGAAACTCCTCCATTGAAATAATCTGGACCATTATAACCATTAAATGTACTATTAAAATTACCATTGAAACCTCCTCCATTAAAATTATTTGTGACGTTATAGCCTCCATTATTGAACCCAACTTTAAAATTATCATAACCTCCATTGTTGAAACCATTGGTTGTATAAATATCGTTTCTCATATTGTTGAATTTTGACATTTGATGTAAATTTGGATTATAGTTATTATTATATCTACTAAAATTGTTGTTAAATTGGTTATAGTTTAAATTTGAACCATTATTAAAAAGCATTGGATTTGGTGCACTATTATTTGGGTTGAAATTATAGGCATTGTAATCGTTATAACCACCCTGAGTATTATTATTGCCATCACTATTCATATTATTGGCAGTGTATACTATATTATTGTATCTACTATACTTATTTGGGAAACCAACTATACTATTTTGCTCGTCATTAATTTGAACATTTTTTAAATTATCATTTGCTTGCAAGGCTGAATTGGTTTTATTTTTTCTCATCAAAGTTGCACTATCAATTAACTCATAATCTTCTTCATTTAATACATATTGTCTTGGCTTACTTTCTTTTTTAGCTTTGGACTTTGCTGATTTACGTTTCTCTTTTTCTCTTTCTCTTTCTTTTTCCCTTTCTCTTTCTCTTTCTCTTTCTCTCTCCCTTTCTTTTTCTCTTTCCCTTTCCCTTTCTTTTTCTCTTTCTTTTTCCTTTTCTTTTTTCCTCGAATCACTTGAATTTTTAACTTCACTCTCCTTTTTGGTGACTGAATTGCCGCTGTTGTTTGTGGATGTAGTTGTTGTCGTAGTTGTGGTATTATTACTATTATTACTTGAACTAAAAAGATTACTTGCCGACTCTTTACTTGTATTACTAGTGTTTGTATATTTTGTGCTTGTACTATTAGTAGTACTTTGGGTATCATGGTTTGTATCTGTTGTTGGATCACCTGTTTCGCATCCCTCACCACCTGCCTCATTTTCAATAGCCAAGTTTTCTTCTTTTTTAGTTTTGTCTAACAAGTTATTTTGCTTTTTATTTAATTCTCTTTCAAGCTTTTCAATTTCTGCCAATACTCTTTCATGTTCGATTTCCACCTCTTCTTCATCAAAATCACCAAGACCTAAATTTGCGATATATTCAATACTATTTTTATTACTTTTGCTACTACTATTATTATTACTATTGTTATTATAATTATTATTATTATTACTATAGACACTATTGGTTTTACTATTTCCTACAGTTATTGATACTATACTATTGGTTTCTCCGATATTATCATCATTTTTTAATAGCTTATATGAACCATTATTATTATTTTTACTATTATTATCATTGCTACTATTTGATTTAAATGTTGAATAAACTAAAATTGATAATATTACTAGAGATAATATAAAAGCTGTTAACATTAAATAAAAACCAACTAGTGCATATGAAGTTATAGATGAGCCATCACCAATAAAACTTGAAAAGAACAATGATCCCACAATGCATGATTTTCCTTCGATTGAACAAAATGTAAACTTTATTGTTAATCCCAATATCATTGATATCATCAAAAATATTGCTTTTAAAACTGAAGAGATTAATATTGATCTTTGAAGAGTTTTTTGATCGTAAACCTTGAAAAATTTTGAAAAAAAATTGTTTTGTAATATTCCAATATTGATAAATGGTATCATTATAATTGAAGCCCCGCCAAATAACAATATAAAATATTCCTGAATACCAGAGTTGAAATCCATTAATGGATCATCATTTTCATTGCTATACAACCCTCTATTAAAACTTTTAAAATCTCCCTGAGCACTATATTTGATAAATTCCCAATTTACTAAAGATTTTTTAAAAAAAAGTAAATACTATAATTATTATTATATTTATTAATTTAAAAAAAGGTGATACAAACAATTTAATGAGGAAATAATTATTGCTATATTGAATATTGATATTATTAAAACTGTGATATCTATAATAGTAATTTTATTCATTTATACACATATACAAAATATGCATATAGATATATCTATATACTTATGAATCTTGGTATGAATTGATAAAAATAACTTTAAATTGAAAATTGAAAAAAAAAAAAAAAAGAAAAATATGGGTATTAAAAAAAACAAAAAAAAAATTATAAAATTTTTTATAAAAAAAAAAACGAACTTTACCACACAAACTCCTTATTTCTCATTTTTTGGGAAATTTTTTTTATATGTGTGTGTTAAACGATATAAAAATTATTTTTGATTTATATTACATATTAGTTGGAAAATTATCACCAAAATAATAAACCATTATTTTTATAAACACACAAATTAGATCTTGAAAATTAATTCACAATTTAATACACAATTAAAATTATTATTCCAAATTAAATTATTTTTATTTTTAGGAACACATAATTTTTGAAATAGGAACATATAATTTTTTTTTTTTTAGATTTTATTATTAATATATATCTAAAAAATAAATAAATAAAATATAATTTATAATTATTAAAAATATATATAACAAAATGATTTATAATAATAATAAACCATTCAAATAAAAAAAAAGAGGGAATAGCAATAATGAAAATCAATTTTTTTTAAAAAGATATATTATAAACGAAAATAGGATATATTCACCAAAAAAAAAATAAAAAAATAAAAAAAAAATATTTTTAAAATATTATTATTTTTTTTTATTTTTTTTTATTTTTTTTTAATTTTTAAATTATTTTACTTTTTATCTTTGTTTAATATTTTTAAAAAATTCTATTAAAATTCAGAATATAGGAATAGCTTATACTAAAATATGAAAAAAATCGAATTAGGATGTTTAGGAATTTCTTTTATATTGGTTATACTTTTAATATCCTCTTTAAGATGTATGTAAATAAAAAAAGATACAAAAAAAAAATAAAAATGCAAATTCATTAATTTTTATATTTATTAAATTTTAATTTTAATTTTATTTATATAGCAAATTGGGAAAAGGTGGAAGTTAAATTCGATAAAACAGATACATATAGACTGGAAAGAAATATCTATTCTACAGAGATTACACAAACATTTTTAATATATGATGTAAACGAAAAACATCCCAATGGAACCAAAATACCAATAGAAACAAGATACTATACAAACAATACCACACATACATTAAATGCATTTGGTGCATTGTCAATTATTTTCTTATTTTTCAATATTGTAAATTTACTCAAAATAAATATCAAGGCTATCGGATCCAATTTATACGCAACATTAGAAAAAATTTCAATTGTTTTCACAGGAATCATAGTTTTATTTTGTATTATAGGTACATTTTTAGCATTTGGTTTAAACGTTCAATTATATATAGAAGAGACTACACAATTTTCCAAACAGGAATTAATTTTTGTTGCTTCTTTTGTGTACAATGGCCATTTACCTGATATCAAAATCCTGGATCCAACTTTAAATCAACTTATTTTAACTGGTGGTTCTCTTCAATCTAGCGCTACCTCTGGCTTTTACCTAATGGTCTTTTGTTTAATTCTTTCAATTGTATATGGTGTTTTAAGTGGACTTAGATATAGAGAAGTCAGATCGCCATCATCCTCAATAGATTATAGATTCTTATATAGCGGGGAAGATTCTTCATTCTTAAACGATGATGATCCTGATGAATTTGACGAATCAGGACTTTAAAGAACCATAAATAATATAAATAAATAAATAAATAAATAATAAATAAATAAATATTTATAAAAATATACATCTACAATAAAAAATTTTATTTTTATAATTTTTATTTATTTTTTTTTTTTAAATTATTCAATATCAATTGAATATTTGCTTAATAAACTTTTTACTATTTCATATGATTCTGTGGTATTTTGTGTATTAAAATCAATTTCTTTAAATTCTTCCAAAAAACTATTATGATTTTGCTTAAGAGTCTAAAATAAAATTGAAAAAATATTAATATTTAATTATATCCTGTTTTAAAAAAAACTATAACTTACATTTGATTCAAATGATTCTAATTCTTTAGCTTTTAATTTTGCAGTTTCAATAACTTGTTGTGGGAAATCAGCTAAAACGGCAACATGGATACCAAAACTTTGATCACAGGCACCAGATTCGACTTTATACAACAAAGTAAAAGTATTATTTTCAGTACTTGCCGATACATGTAAATTTTTAACAACAGGGATGATATCTGCCAAAATTGTTAACTCATGGAAATGGGTTGCAAATAAACAAAAACCACCGATTTGATTACAAATATATTCGGCGATACCCCAAGCCAAACCAAAACCATCGTATGTGGAAGTACCTCTACCAAGTTCATCAATAATAATTAATGAGTTCTTGGTGGCAACCTTTAAAATATATGAAGTCTCCAACATCTCTGCCATAAAAGTAGAAACACCACGAAGTTGACTATCACCGGCACCTACTCTTGATAAAATACAATCAACAACTGAAACAATAGCTTTTTGAGCTGGAACAAAACAACCTATTTGGGCCATTAAAACAATTAAACCAACTTGACGAATAAATGTACTTTTACCACCCATATTTGGACCTGTAATAATTTGGAATTGAGATTCCTCACGAATCAATTCGATATCATTTGCAATAAAACTAACACCATCTTGAGTTTCAACACAAGGATGACGACCACCAAAAATAACAGTGTTACCAGTACCAAGTGGATGGATCTCTGGTCTAACGAAAGGAGTTGGTGCAATTGATGATATATGGGCCATGGTTACAAAAACATCTAAAGTTGCTATTAATGAACTAAGATCTTCGATTAATGGAACAAACGAGGCGGCAATTTGAAGGGTTCTTTTAGCAAGGCCATCTTGTTTATTTGCATACTCTGCAGATAATTTTTTGTATGTCTCATTGAGGTTATTAATCTCCTTAATTGAAAATCTAACACCATCCTTTTGTGTAGCATAAATTATAAACTCTTTTTTATCTCTTAATTTGACCTCATCTTTTCTAGAGATTCTTAAAAGGTAACCATCTTTTTCGCTATAATGTAATTTTACTTTTGATTCATCCAAATCCAACTTATCTGCAGTCTTTATACGGAATCCTTCGATCTTTTGGGATGTTTTATCTTTAAGTTTTTGAATTTCGGCAAGAGCTTCATCAAAACTTGAACGGATAACATATTCGTGTTTTTCATTGGCTAAATCCAAATCAATAGTTTTTTCGACCATAGCACAAAACTTTTGGAAATCGTTAATAATTGATTCTAAACTGTCGATGAAATTTGCTTTGAGCATCTCTTGATGTACACCACTATGACCATTTAATGTTGATAAAACAACTGGTAAACGATTAACAATGCCATAAAGATTAACACAATCTTCCAATGAAGCTTTTTGACCATGTAATTTCTTTGAAAGACGATCTAAATCACCAATTTTCTTTAAGTCATTTGAACGAAGTGATTGTCTTAATTCAATGTCATTGAAAAAGGTTTCAACAAAATTTAGTCTCATTTCAATTTCCTCTGTATCTAATAAAGGTTGCTTGACCCATTGTAAAAGTAATCTTGATCCCATAGGTGTGTTGCATTGATTTAATAAATTATATAATGATTGATCTTTGGTTGATGTTGCTGATGAGTTTGGTAATCCCGATGAATTGTGTTCCTTTAAGTCAATAATATGTAAACCTCTGAATGATGCTGAATCTAATTTCATATATTTATTTAAATCAAACTTTTCTAATTTAAATTTACCAAAATAATTTGGGTTTGATAATAACTATAAACAGATAAAAACTGTTACATTAATATTTATCGTTTTAACAATTAACCAATTAAATATGTTTTAAACTTACATCTAAATGCTTAATTAAACAACTTGCAGATTGAATTGCATTTTCTTTTTCCAAGTCTAATAAATTATTTTTAACCGAACCCAATAATCTTGTTAAATCCTGTTCTGCATTCTTTGAGCTGAAATCGGCTTTTGGAACCTCGGTAAATGGAATATCAGCCTCGGCTAACTTTTCTTTTACTTTTGCATAATCATAGTTCTTTGGATCGCTATATAAAAGACACTCTTTGATACTCATTTGCATTATAAAACTACTGAGATTTGATAAATTATCATTGTCCATAAACTCTGAAACGCCCAGGGTCTTGAATGTGGCATCCCCAAATGCAATACCAAAGACAATTGATCCTTTCTCACGTGTAACTTTTAATGCCATCATTACTGAATTCTCTGTATAATTAAATAAAACATCCTCAAATTGTTGAGTATTTCCTCTTGAGCCTTTCTTTGATAACTCCCATTGATTAATTCTATTTGGTTTAGCTGCCCAAATTTCAATTTTCTTTTTTTCTTCAAATAACTCTTTAATAATCTGTTCGTATTCAAAACCCTGTCTAATTGTTAAACATGCCAATCCTAAATTTGTATCCTCATTTGAAGGTGGTGGTGATGATGAACTGTCTAATTTAATTTTCTTTTTTGGCATTTCATTTGCTGTACCCCAATATTTTAATGACTTTTTACTTTTAAAATGCATTAATGCAACAAATACTGCATCATCGCCATGAATTGAATAATATCCCTATAGTGTTAAATAATGTTATTAATAAAGATATAAATAAAATGATAATAATAAAATAATGCAATAAAAAACAAGTACCTTTCTATCAAATAATCTGATTGTATCTTTATCTGTTAAATCCAAACCTTGAAAAAATGATACAAATCCTTTATCCTCCTTTAAAACAACTTGTGTTGTTTCTTCTTGTTCGTTATCTGACATTCTTATTTTTTATCTAATTAGGTTTTCCAAAAAAAAATAATAAATAATTAATAAAAAAAAATTTAAAAAAAATTTTTTAAAAAATTTTTAAAAAAAAAAAAAAAGAGAGGGTTTCATATTGATGTTTTTTTATTGCTTTTTTTAAATTTATTGGTAATAATATTTTTTTGATAATAAATAAAATATTTTGGGAACTCAAAACAACCTGATTTTAAAAAAAAGATTGATAGCTTGAAAACTCATATCTCATACACAATCGGAGCTTTAATGGAAATTGGTATTGATTAAAATAAACAAATAAAAAAAAATTTTAAAAAAAAAAAAAATAATAATAATTTATCTTTTTTTTCATTTTTGGTTATATTTACTATAATAATATGCAACAATAAACAATTGTGTTTATTTATTACATATTATTTGAAATTAATATTATTTTAAAAAAATCTTTTGAATGAATTTGTAGACCATAATTTAATTTATTATTTAATTTTTATAATTATTGTTTTTTTTTTTTATTATGTTTTTTTATTATATTTTTCTTTTATTTTCTTTAAAATTAAAATATTAGAACACACACACAACACACACAAGTGAAATACATATAAAAAAAAAATAAAAATAAAAAATATAAAATAAAATAAAAAAAATCATTAAAAATAATAATATCCTCACCATAATAAAAAATAATATCCCAATTAAAACATAAATAAATAGATATATAGTTTTTTTTTTTTATTAAAATTCTAAAAAATAATATAATTATTATTTTAGAAATAATTTCTCCCCACAATTTTTTTGTTATTTTTTTAAAAAAAAAAATTTTATTTTTTTTTTATTTTTTTATTATTTTTTTATTTATTATTTTTTATTTTTTTTTAAAAAAAAAAAGTCACGAATATTTTTTTAAATTTTTTTTCATTTTTTTTACTGCACACTAGCATACTCACTACTTAAACCTATAATATATTTATATATTTTTTTTAGTATACATAGCAATAGTACAATTATTTGTTTGTCTCATACATACAACAACACAATAACAAAGCATTCTTTTAATAAATTAATTCTTTTTTTTTTTTAAATTTCATTTGTAATAAATAATTCATATAAACACAATAATTATTTATATACAAATTTTAGCATAAAAAAAAAAAAACCCTAAAACTTTTTTTAAAAAAGTAAAACCCAATAACACACGTTATTATTAATTACTGTCCTCACTCTAATTAATAATAAAATAAACACCTTTTATGTTCTGGTGCAAAAACAACAAAAAGACCATCTCTTTTAACACACTCGCCATTTACATTTCCGACACCGGTATTTCCTGACGTCGCTAATCAACCTTTGATATATACCCAATAATAATATAATAATAATAATATAAAAACAATTTTTCATATATTTTTTTTTTTGTTTGTTTAGTATTTTTTTTTTCCCCCATATAAATTTATCATTTCTTAATAATATTTTAAACTCAATTTTTTTCAACTTAACTCAATTTATAAAAACATACACATAGTATAATTTAAATGCCAATAATGTAAGTAAAAAAAAAACCGTTCTCTTTTTTTTTTTTTGTTGCACTTCCCAAAACACTTCGCAAATATAGCACAATCACAAAAAAATTCATTTTTAGGATTACGAAAAAAAAAATTCAAAAAAAAATATTTTTTAAAAAAAAAAAAAATTTTAAGGTCAGAAATTGCAATCAGTTACCCAACATTTGACAGATATTAGTCTGTATATAGAAACCAAATCTTAAAAAAAAAAATTTAAAAAAATATAATTTTTTATCCAGCTCAAATTATAATAATAATATTTTAGTTTTAAAAAAAAAAAGAAATTTTTTTTTTTTTTCTTTTTTTTTCTTTTTTTTTTCTTTTTCTTTTTCTTTTAATTTTTTTTTAAAAAAAATGGAAAATGTATTAATTTTAAAATTTAAATTTATTAATGATTTTTAGGTCAACAGAAATTTTTAATGAATCAGATGCCGGATTCGTCATTGAATCAACTCAAAATTGTTACGCCGATGGATTCGAAGGACCAGAAAAAAAATTAGATATTAGATTTTGTCCAATTAACAAGATTACTGGTAAAAACTCAACATCAAAAATTGGATTACGTGCTATCAACAAAGATAGATGGCAACAGGTTTTAGATTCAGCAAGATGTACAATTATTAGCCAAACATCAAATCAATTTATGGACAGTTATGTTTTATCAGAATCCAGTCTTTTCGTTTACCCACGTCGTGCAATGGTCAAAACTTGTGGTACCACTACCTTATTACATTTAATTGCTAAAATGGTCGAGGTTGGTAAAGAGTGTGGATTAGAGGTCGAGATGGTCGTATTTTCAAGAAAGAACCTCAATCAACCAACCAAGCAAATTTTCCCACATTGTTCATTCAATGACGAAGTAGCCTTTTTAAATAAAATCTTCAAAGGTGAAGCTTACGTTATGGGTGATGTAAATAAGGATCATTGGAATTTATATATTGCCGATTACCGTAAAAACAAAACTGTCCAAAGAACTGAACAAACTTTCGAAGTAATGATGCACGATCTCAACCCAGAGGTCATGAAGCAATTCTTCAAACGTGAAGGTGTTTCAGCTTTAGATACTACCGTAAGCAGCGGCATCAGCAATCTTTTACCAGGTTCCATCATTGATGACTTCCAATTTGACCCATGTGGTTACTCTATGAATGGTCTCTTGGATCAATGGTACTGGACTATTCACATCACTCCAGAATCTCATTGCAGTTATGTCTCTTTCGATACCAATATTGCTTTACCAGATTTCAATCAATTATTAAGAAATGTCTTGAATGTTTTCAAACCAGGTAGATTCACAACTGCTATCTACAGTGAAGATGGCAGCCCAGTCTCTGATGCTTATTCTGCTTTTGATATCAATTCAATTCCAGAATTTTCAATTCAAAATAAAACTCTTCATGGTTTCGATGGTGGTTATGATGTTGTTGTTTCAAATTTCAAATTATCAGATCAATATTTAATTCAACAAAAACAACCAATTATCCAAACTGCTGATCAACAACAAGTTGATTTAATTCAAGTTTAAAAAAAAAAAAATTATAAAACTAATTTTTTTTTAATACCAACCAAACAAACAAACAAACAAACAAACAAAACAAATATAAACTCCCTCAAAATGAATAAAATTATATTTTTTTTTTAAAAAAAATTATTTAAAATAATTTTTTTTCATGTATACATAAAATTTTCTAAAGCTTTTTATTTATTTTTTTTATTTTTTTTTCATTTTTTAAAGTTTTTATAAACAGAAAATTTTTCAAAATAGCCCCTCATTGAATTGGTTCCTTAATTTTGAAAATATTATAATTTAAAATCACCCTTTTTTTTATTTTTTTCCAACTATTACCACAAAATGTGTTTTTTTTTAATTTTTTTTAGTTTCATCTTTCCTGGTTACATTTTTTTTTGTTATTAAAGTTTAAAGTTCAATTAATTTTCAATCATATTTTATTTGTATTTAAATCCTGGGTATATAAATAATAAAATATTAAATTCTTTTTTTTTTGTTATTTAAATTTTCTTTTTTATTATATATATAAAAATTTTGTAAAAATTTTATAATAGATTAAATTTACAATATAATTTTAAGAGATATTAAAGATTAATATATACAAATAATCAAATTAAAAAATTTAATTCTTTTTTATTTTTTATTTTTTATTTTTTTTTAATTTTCATTTTTTTTAATTTTTTGTTTTTTTTTTTTTTTTATATTTTTTTTTTAAATTTAGTTTAATCATTAAATAGTTTTACTCATACTAAAATTACTTTACTAAAAACTATGAAGGTTTTATTAGTCTTTACCTTAATCATTGGTTTGATTAATGGCTTAGCATACCCAAAAAATTTCAATGAAGAACAAGTTTCAAATATATCACCATATACACCATTTTGGTTCAGCCAAACTTTAGACCATTTCGATGACGAAAATACCGAATCTTTCTCACAAAGATACTTTATAAACGATCAATTTTACGACTATACCAATGGTGGTCCAATTATTTTATATATCAATGGTGAGGGTCCAGTCTCATCAGCACCATGTCAAACTGGTGATGGCGTTGTTTTATATGGTCAAGCTGTAAGTATTATACTATTATTAAAAAAAAAAAAAAAACAATATTATATAAATAGTATTTTAATTCTTTTATTTTTATTTTAGTTAAATGCAATGATTGTAACATTAGAACACAGATATTATGGTGAATCAACTCCATTCCAAGATCTTACCACAGAAAATTTAAAATATCTTTCATCTGAACAAGCATTAAATGATTTAGCAATTTTTGTTGTTTGGTTCCAAAGTCAATTATCAAATGCTGGTAAAATTGTTACTATTGGTGGATCATACAGCGGTGCTTTATCAGCATGGTTCAGAATTAAATACCCACACATCACCAGTGGCTCAATTGCTTCATCAGGTGTTGTTAATGCTATCTTACAATTCACTACTTTTGATGAATATGTTGCTTATGCAGCTGGTGAAGATTGTTCAAATGCTCTTAGATTAGTTACCAAAGCTGTTGAGGAACAAATCCTTGCAGGTGGTAGTGCCGAACAAAAAGTTAAACAAATTTTCCAAGCTGAATCTTTAACTGATAACGGTGATTTCTTTTATTGGTTAGCTGATTCAATGGCTGAAGGTATCCAATATGGTTTCCACTCTCAATTATGCAGCCCATTAATCGAAGCTATGAATAATAATGGTGATATGATTTCAACTTATTCAAACTATACTATCAATGTTTGGGGTCAATCATTAGGTACCCCAGAAGAATACTCTACTGTTTGGCAACAAAACACCACCGCTGACCCAGCCAAGGCTGATAGACAATGGTGGTTCCAAACATGTGCTGCTTTAGGCTATTTCCAAGATGCTCCACTTTCAGGTAGTATCAGATCATCAATGGTTAATATGACCTACTTCAAAACCCATTGCCAACAAGTATTTGGTATTCCATTATGGCCAAACACTGCTGCTGTTAATATCCACTATGGTGGTAATAACACTGCTGGTACTAATATTCTTTATACAAATGGTTCACAAGATCCATGGAGTCGTGCCTCAGTTATTCAAACTATTTCAGACAGCCAACAATCTGTTATGGTTACTTGCGAAAATTGTGGACATTGTGTTGATATAAGAGTAAGTTTTTTTTATTTTTTTTTAAACCAACACTAAATTAATTTACAATTATTAATTTTAAATTTAATTTTTTTCTTAAATTTAGGCAAGCTGCCCAGGTGGATGTGCACAACCAAATAACATTGCTCAAGTTAGAGCCTTATCAATCAAGTTATTGGAATCATGGTTATCATAAGCTTTTGAATCTAAACTCTAATTTATTTTTTATTTAATAAAAGAAAGGTTTAATTTTTTTTTTTTAAAACTAATTATACATATGCTTTGTTTTTTTTATTTTTATTTTTTTATATTTTCTAAAACATTCCTATAATCAGATGTTTAAAAATAATTTTACAAATATAACTTTTATGCGTTTTATAACTAATCAAAAATTGGATAGTTTAGGAATTGAATATTTATAATTTGATTTGTAAGCAAAGTTTCTAATATAATTATTTCGTTATTTCCTTGATTTAATAATACAGATGGAATATAAATTGTTCTTTGAGGGCCAACGTTCCAATATCTACCAACATTATAACCATTAACATACAACTGACCTTTACCGAGGTTTTGAAATGAAAGAAAGGTATCGCCTATTTCATCTTGACTATTAATTGTTAAAATTGCTTTATAAAATGTTGGTGTTGAAAATTTACTATAACTTGAAACATCTTGCCATTCTATGGCAGAAAGGTTATCTAAAGGTAATGGGTAGTTTGACCATGGTCCAAGATATTGATTGCTTGATGTAACCCCATTACCCAATCCTTTTTTATCATGTATGTATGGTCCAAAATTAACACGACCCTGGTTTTCTAATAAGATTTTTAGATTAAAATCACCATTTGATGAAATATTTGTTGTTGGGTATGTAATTGTTATACTGCTATTATATGGACGCTGAATAAAACCTTGATTGCTTTGGCTATTAATAAAAAATGTTGCTCTATCATGAAGCTCCATAACTGAAAGCTGGTTACTTTGGGCCAAATTCATAGTTGTTTCGTACAAAACAAAGCCAGTAGATTGGTTCATTTCTTCCATTGATAGTGGTCTTCCTGTTAAGAAAAGTGGCGAGGTTGACAATTGCTTTAAATTATCAAATAAACTAGCGGCTTGAATAAAGGAAACAGTACCATATTGTGACTTGGTAGAATTATTTGGAATTGGTGGTAATGATGTGTTTACATACTTTTCAATAACTTCTCTAAGTGCAAGATATTTTGATGTAATATCACCAGCTTCGCTAATTGGGGAGTCATAGTCGTATGATTGAATGGTAATTTCATAATCTGAGGGAGAGTTTGAGTTTGCACCATTTGAAAAGCCAAAATTACTGCCACCATAAAACATATACATATTGACACTTGCACCCAATGATAAAATATTACCTAAACCCTCTGCAACTACCTCTGCTGATGTCCTAGCAGCAGACTGATCAGTCCAATGAGTAATCCAACCAGTATAATACTCTGAATTCATAGATGGTTGCAGGCTTGAGGTATACTTTTGTTGAATATTAAAATTTTGTTCAATTTGGTCCATTGTAGTGGGACCAAAGTCGACTGTTTGGAACACTCCATCTAACTTTGAGCCATATAACATTTGAATAGATGGACCATCAGTAGAGTGAAATATAACACCACCTTCTTTACCTTGACCTATGCCCAAAAACTTTTGCAATAATGCATATAAATATAAAAGATAATCCTTATCAGCCCCATATGAACCATATTCGTTTTCTATTTGAGCCATAATAATTGGACCACCATTTGTGTAAAGATAGGGTTCTAGTACTGGTAATAGTTTTTGCCAATATTGTGAAACTGCATTTAAAAAATTTTCATCACTAGTTCTTAGAGCAATTTCTGGATAGTTGGTTAAAAGCCATGATGGAAACCCCCCAAATTCATATTCAGCACAAGCAAATGGACCAGGTCTAATGATTACATTTAGTTGATTTTCATTTGCTAATTCTAAAAATTGTGTTAAATTGAACTGGGAAAAATCTAAATCGCTATCTAAACCATTGGGTTGATGTAGATTCCATGGGATATAAGTTTGAATTGTATTTAAACCAGATGCTTTGATTTTGAGTAACCTATCACCCCACAATAATGGATGGCATCTAAAATAATGAAATGACCCACTAATAATTTGGTATTTGTTTACTTGATCTTTGACGAAATTTCCATTTTCTATATAAAATGACCCACACTGAATATATTTTAAATTTATTAAAACCAATAATAGTATTATTAGTTTCATTGTTTAAATAAATTATTTGTTTTTATTTTAGTTTTAAAGAAAATTAATATAAATAAAAAAAAAAATATAAAATTAAAAATTTATTTTAAAAAAAATTTTAAAAAAATAATAAAAAAATAAAAAAAGATATTTTCAGTTATTTACCCCCACTAACACCCATATCCAATACCAAATAAAATAATAAATTTTATTAAATAAATGAAATAATAAAGGTTAAAAATAAATAATGATAACCTATATGTTTTTATTTTGTTTTTATTTATAAATTATATATAATATTAATTGAAAAAAATTAATTTAATTATTTTTTAGTTAATATTTGTAAAATTAATTTGTACAAAAGTGGTTAAAATTTGAAATTCTTGATTGATCAGATTTCTTCCATGATATATATAGCAAAGCAAATTTTCAATGTTCTTTTTATTTTGTTTGAATAGGCTTCCCATTGTTGTTAAATTTAATGATTTTTTCCTTTTATAGCCACCATATACAAAAGAGTATATGCCATTTCTTCTGATAAATATCATTTTTTCAATTACCAAGTCGACACTCTTTTTCTTTTTGTATTTAATATCATTCATAATATATTTTGTATTGCTTTCAAATGATTGTTTTAATCTATTTAAATAATCTTCTTGTGCTGAAAAATAATCTGTTTCTGTAGTCTCCTGGCATTGAGTGCCGATTTCATTTCTAAATCTGAATTGGTTTTGTTTTTGTTGAGATGATGGTAGCTCTTCGATTAAATCATTAGATGTGGCACTATTTTGTATATTTATTTCATTTGATATGTTACTATTATTTATTGGTGTAATGTTTGCTGTTGTATGTGAGTTTGATGTAGTTACAGATGAGGATGTCGATGAAACAATGTTAGTGTTTGAATAGTGTGCATTAGGACTTGGAACCTCAACTTTGCTTGATACCGAACTAACATCGAATACCCTTTCAAATGAAAGTTCAAAATCTTCGTATTGATTTTTTGATAAATGTAAAATTGAGTTTAATTTTAATTTTATATATCTCTTAAATGAATAACTTGATGGCAATAGCTCCAACTCTTCATTAATTCTGAAAGAATCTACATCTTTAACAACCCTACAATTAACCTGATCGTATTTATGCTTTGCTTTAAAATCATTATTAAAACATTTATTTTCTACCTCGATCTTTGGATAACTTTTTTCTTTATTGGTATATTCTTTGGATGCCTTATCTAATTTTTGTAATAGATCTTGAAATATTTGATTATTATTGTTATTGTTATTGTTATTGTTATTATTATTATTATTATTGCTAGTATTAGTATTATTAGTATTATTAATACCATTATTATTTTGATCTACATTTATTATATTATTATTATTATTACTAATATTTATTCCATTTTCTTCAAATGATATGAAGATATTATCATCATCTTCAAAATAATTTGATTTATTTGTTTCTATATTATAATGATCATTAGTGTTGCTATTACTATTATCACTTTGAATCATTTATTATTTATATATTATAAAATTATATTTATTATTTATTTATGTGTAATATAAAAAAAGAAAAAAAAGAAAAAAAAAAATTAATTTAAATTTTTTATATTTATAAAAAAAAAAATATAATATTATTTATAAAAAAATTTTGTAATCTTTATTGAATCCAGATATAATTTGAAAAAAAAAAAAAACTAAATTAAAAAAAAAAAAAAAAAAAAAAAAAAAAAGATATTTATTTTAAAAAAAGGTTATATATTATTTGTTTATTTTTTGTTGGTTTATTGTTTGTTTGTGTTTTAATTATAATAATAAAAAAATTAAAATGGAAACAATATTAATATTATAATAAAAAAATTATTAAGATTAAATTGTGATTTTTTAAGCACCGATGTCTTTATTAATTAATTAATAAATAATAAAATTAATAATAAAAAACCAATATAAACAACAATAATAATGATATTAATTGAATTAAAAGGGGGTGGAACTTTTGTATTTTAAAAATAGCAATATTTAATTACGAAAAAAAATTATTTAAAATTTTAAATAATTTTTTTTTTTTTTTTTTTTGATTTTTTTTAAAATAATAAAATTTGTTTTATTTTATTTTATTTTTTTATTTTTATAGAAATATATAAAAATAAATTAATGAAGAATCATTCATAAAAAAACAAGAAAAAGAAAAAGAAAAAGAAGAAAGAAAATGATTTGCATTGAATGTGGTAGACCAGTTAATGATGTGTACAAAGAGTTTGGTAAGGCTGGCAGTGGTAATATAAGACTAACAAGATGTGTGAGTAGATATTTTTAGTAAAAACAACTTTACACATTCACAACCATGGACTAACATATATTTCTATATATATAGTCTTGTTGCCAGCAGATTGCAGACAAATATGTGGAATATGATTTTATCATTGTATTTTTAGATTTATTTTTACATAAAGCGCAAGCATATAGACATTTATTATTTAATAGACAACCTTATAGAGATTTTGGTATTCCAATTCAATATGTAAAGGTTTTAATTGTATATATATTTTTCGAATCATGTAAATATACAATATAAATATATAGGGTTAAATTTAATTCTATACTAATAAACCATTTCAATTCCATTCAATGAATATCAATACATATATAGATATAAAATGGCTAAGATTTAAAGAATATGGCCAACACCAACCAGGTGTACCATTTTATTATATCGATTGGCACGATGATGTACCATATGATAGATATTGGTTTATCTTTTTAACAGCGATTGCAGAATTTGGAATGTATATATCATCGATAATTGTGGCGGTAAGATTTATTTATCAATCAAGATATCCAATTATAAAGTACAACTATTTGGTAATGGCTATTATCCTATCAAGCTTTGGCAAAGGCTTTTTGGTTTTAATGATGATTTGGGACTATCCTTTTAGTTTTGGTTCTATTTTAAATATTTTTGTTTTATCCTCCAATGTTGTCGCCATTAAAGGTAAATATATAATAACAGAATAAAAATGATATCATTTTTTATTTTTTCACTAATTTTTCCATTCTATAGTATTTTTAGACACAAGTACATTCAAAGCAATTATTTTTGTGGCATTTGGATTTTTAGGTAGATTATTTTTCCAATCGATCATTTATTTATTCGATGGTTCAATGCTGTTGCATTTAAATCTATAAAAAATATAAAACAATAAATATAAGAAAAAAACATCATAATATAAATTATATAAATTTATATTTATTTTATTTATTTTTTTTTAACCATTTATAAGTGCAAAAAAAAAACAGTTAATCATTTTTTATGTGTATCTTTTTTTTTATTTATTTTTTTTATTTATTTTTTTTTTTATTTTTTTTTTATTTTTTTTAAAATTTTTTATTTTTTATTTTTCAATTTTTTTTAAATTTTTTTTTTTTTTGTGTTTATTGTCGAATATTATTTTTTTATATATATAAACAATTATATAAATAATTTTAGAATGTCAAACTCAAAACCATTATCAGTTACCGATGTCGTCAGTACATGGTACATGAAAAAATTAAAGAACACACCAATTCAAACAAAGGTACATTAAAAGAAATATTAATAATAATAAATTTTAATATATATAAATTTTAATATATATAAAATAACAACATCAAATAAATTAAATAAAGATCATTTCATGGGCAGAATATTAATAATAATAATAATAATTAACATTTTAAAATACTATTATAATAGGCCATCACATCAGCTGTTCTTTCATTCGCCAGTAGCGTTATTGCTCAAAAATTAATTGAAAAGAAAAATATCGATTGGTCAAGAGTAGCCAAATTCACCGTTTGGGGTTTAATTTCATCACCACTTGTCCATTTCTGGCACATTATTCTCGATCGTCTTTTCAGAAATATTAAAGGTCAATACCAAACTTGGGGCAAGGTATGTAAACAATAATTTTAGATATTTATTATTAATTTGAAGAAAACGATAAAAAAAATGGTCATGAACATGGATGTTTTGTGTATTAATTTTAAATTTTTAAAATTTGATTTTTTTTAAAAAATCAAAAATTTTATTTTATTTTTTAAAATTTGAAAAAAACTTAAATTCTTTTTTTAGATGATTGTTGATCAATTAGTATTTGCACCATTCATCAATATTGCTTTTTATACAGTTTTAGCTCTTTTAGATGGTAAACCAAAATCAATTCTTTTCAAATTATATTTTGATCTCTTCCCAACCTTAAAAGCCAGTTGGAAAGTTTGGCCAATTGCCCAATTCATCAACTTCAAATTTGTTCCAAGTCACTTACGTGTTCTCTTTGGTAACCTCATTGGTTTCCTTTGGGGTATGTACCTTGCTGTCATTTCAAGCAAAAAGAGAAACTAAGAAATCACTTCTGCTACCAATTAAAAGAAAAGAAACTAAAGGGATAACTATAAAAATATCAATATATACACTCCAAAATTTTTAAATAATTATTTTAAAAAGTTTATTAAAAAAATAAAAAATAAAAAAAAAATAAAAAATAAAAAATATTTAATAATAAAAAAAAAAACTCACTAAATATTACACCTTTTTGATTTCGCTTATATTCACTTTTTTTTTTTTTTTTTTTTTTTTTTTCCATTATTGAATTCAAAAGTGTAATTTTATTCTTTTTTTTTTTTTTTTCGTAAACCGCTGCCTAAATAAAATTTTTTTTAAAATAATTTATATTTAAAACAAAAATAAATCTGAAGATAAAAATAAATTAAAATTAAATAAACATTTTCCTTTTTTAGAATTATTTTTTAAAATAATTTAAATTTTAAATAAATTTATAAAAAGTAAAATTTAAATTTAAATGAAAATCTGTTTGTTTTTCTTTTAGAATTGGGTTAAATTTTTTTATACCAGAAATTTTTTTTATTTATAATTTTTTTTAAAATATTTAACAAAATTTTTTTTTAAAATTTTTTTTTTTTTAATTTTTTTTTTAAATTATTTTTTAATTTTTTTTTTCAAATTTTCAGTTCAACAAGACGAAATAAACAAATAATTGATAAATCACGTGTTTTTTATTATTACTAGATAAAATATTTTTTTTTAATTAAAAAATTATTCCTATTGTTTTTTCTCTTTATATACATTTATAAAATATATACATAAATTTTTTTTTTTAATATATACGCAATATAAATTTAATATATATAAAATGTCATTTGTTGTTGGTTTTGATTTTGGTACTAAAAATTGCACCATCGCCGTTGCTCAAAAAGGTGGTGTTGATGTTATCGCTAATGAAGTTTCTAATCGTTTAACTCCATCAATGGTTTCATTTGGTGAAAAAGAAAGATATTTAGGTGAACCAGCTTTAACTAATGTAAGTAAAAAACTATACACATAAAAAAATAAATAAAATATCCCCCACCACCACACATCTCTCCATATAAAAAATATAATATTTTTAAATAGTATATTAATTATTTTCTCTTTTTTTTTTTTATTTTATTTTTATAGCAACTTAGGAATATCAGAAATACAATTACAAATATTAAAAGATTCATTGGTAAAGAATATAAAGAACCACAAGTTCAAGAAGAATTAAAACATGAAATGTTTTCATCATCTGAATTAGAAAATGGATTTATTGGATATGATGTTACATATGCAGGTGAATCAACTCAATTTTCAAGTGAAGCAATTTTAGGTATGCTTTTCACCAAATTAAAAAAGACCACAGAAAACTTTGTTAATAATCCAGTTCGTGATGTCGTAATTTCAGTACCAGTTTTTTGGAATGAATATCAACGTCGTGCCATCTTAAATGCTGGTATTATTGCTGGTTTAAATATCCTTCGTTTAGTTAACGAAACAACAGCCACAGCTCTTTCATACGGTATTTATAAAGAATTTTCAGAAACTGAACCAACCAATCTTTTATTCATCGATGTTGGTGATGCCGCCACTTCAGTATCAGCTGTTCAATACAAAAAAGGTCAACTCAAAGTTTTAGGTAACAGTTGGAATTCCGATATTGGTAGCAGACTTTTCGACGAAACATTAGTTAAACACTTTGCTAAAGAATTCAAAGCCAAATACAAGATTGATGTTTTCGAAAACAAAAAAGCTTTAATTAGATTAAGAGTTGCTTGCGAAAAAGTTAAAAAAGTCCTCTCATCAAACAACGAAGCTCCAATTTCAATTGATTCACTTATGGAAGATAAAGATGTTAAAGGTATGATCGATCGTGCCACTTTTGAAGAATTAATCCAAGATGATGTTGAAGCTATCACCGGCCCAATTAAAAAACTCTTATCAGATTTACAAATGACCCCAGAACAATTCCACTCCATCGAAATCACTGGTGGTGGTACACGTTCAGTCTCACTCCAAAAGAAATTAGTTGAAATTTTAGGTAGAGATCTTTCAAGAACCATCAACTCTGAAGAATCTGTTTGTCGTGGTGCTGCTCTTCAATGTGCTATGTTATCACCAGTTTTCAGAGTTCGTCCATTTGCTGTTAATGATATTGCCAGTTACCCAATTACTGTCAACTTTAAATCAGTCTCTGGTGTTGAACAAAAATTAGAACTCTTTAACCTCAAGAGTGCTGTCCCATCTCCAAAACCATTAAGAATCTCATTCCCAATTACCAAATCTGAAGGTTTTGAAGTCTATGTCAACAGTACTTATGGCAATGTATGCACTGTTAAAGTTGATCAAATCCCATCATTCACAAATAAATCATCAATTAAAGCTAGAGTTTGGTTAGATATCCACGGTCTTTTCCACATTGATGAAGTTAAATTAGTTGAACAAATCCCAGAAGAACAACCAGCTGCTCCAGCTGAAGGTTCAGAATCACCAGCCGCTCCAGCTGAAGGTGCTGCCTCACCAAATGGTACTCCAGCCGAACCAGCCAAGGCCCCAGAAGAGAAAAAAGTTAAAGTTCAAGAATCACCAATTGCTTATACCGTTATTACTAAAGGTATGACCAAAGATGAATTAAAAAATGCCGTCGAAGAAGAATGCCGTATGCAAGCTGCTGATACTTTAGCCATCGAAACCTCAGAAAAGAGAAACGCTCTTGAAAGTTACATTTATGATATGCGTTCAAAACTTACAACTTCACTCAAACCATTTGTTACTGCTGATAATGCCGATAAATTCATGGAAAAATTAAACAAAGCTATGGATTGGTTAGATAGCGAAGAAGGCGAAGATCAAACTAAATCTGTTTATGCTGGTAAACTCGATGAACTCACCCGTATTGGTAACCCAATCCAAAAACGTGCCATCGACGAAGAAGAATATAATGATGTTGCTCAATCACTCAAAAACACTGCTTCCCTTTGCAAAAATGAAGCCCTCACTCCAGGTGAAAAATATGATCACATTACCAAAGAAGAAAAAGAAAAAATTATTAAAGATTGTGATGCCGCTGTCGATTGGATTGACCAATTATTAAACAAACAAAAATCATTACCAAAAACCCAACCATTATGTTTCAATATTGCTGATGTTAACAGTAAAAAGAGTCAATTAGAATCAACTACCAAATCAATCCTTGGTAAAGCTAAACCAAAACCAGCCCCAGCCACCCCACCACCACAACCAAACCCAGAAGAAAAGGAAATTGAAGACCAACCAATGAAAGAATCCGAACAACCAAAAGATCAAAAAATGGACGATGTTGATAATTAAATTATTTAGTTATTAATTTTTTAAATAAAATAAAACATAAAATTTTTTTTTTTAAGCATATATAAACGAAAAACTATTTTTTTTTTCCAAAGCAAAATATTATATCTATTACAATAAATTTAAATCTTTTAATTTTAAAATTTAAATATACGCATATATAAATTTATCATTTAAATAATTTATGGTTTAAAAACTAAAGGTTTAACAATGTTTTTTTTTAATTTTTTTTATTTTAAATTTTTATTATATTTTGTTTTAATTAATTTGGTCATGACCAATCAAATCGCCTACATGATATGAAATAATTTCGTTATAACCAATTAAGTTTTCTGAGGATCTCTTTTGAATACTTTCACAAATTACTGGGAAGTCAACAGAGAAATCAAATAATTCGTTTTCTAAAAGGAAAATTAAAAAGTGGAAATCTGAAAAGAATTCTAATGGTGATGTATCTTTAAGTTCAAGTTTGTAAGAGGCTAAATCAGAGATTGTGGTTCCAGGTTGTCTATTTTCTACAGGGAAATTACACTTGAAAATTGATTTATCTTCTCTTGCTTTTAATGGTACAGTAACAATGAAAAAGTTATTATCAGCGTTATTAGTTTCAGTACCTTCTTCGAAAACCGCAGTTTTTAATTTACATTTGGTTGGGTCGGGTTGGTTTTGAAGGAATTCACCTCTTTTTTCCAAAGCTAAAGCTTGATCAGAGACTTGGAAGGCCTCAATATTACTTTGGCCTTCAGTATTGGCTGATAAAATTAATGTAGCAAAACTTGAACCATATTTATTTTGAAAGGCTGCTGCTTGAATAATATCTTTTGATGACATTACATACTTTCTTGATGGATGTGAAAATATCCAACCCACTCTGGTCATACCTAACATTGATGCGATTGACTCTACTTTTTCACCTCTTGGATCATTTAAAATTGTAACAGTTTGACCATCTTTGCACTCTTGTGGTGGTTCATAAATACTATCAATGACAACTGATCCATCTTGAAGAATATTACCATAAAGAAAACCAACTCTTTGGACTTCAAATTTCTTACTTTGAACATATTGTTGGAAAATATTAGCTGAAGTAAAATCTACTAATGCTCCTGGGCAATGTGGATTATCTTGACTCTTTAGTTTCATCTTGAGACTTTCTCTCCACTCGATACATTCAACACATGATCCATGAATACCATGATTTTTACATTTTCTAGTTGGTAATGTTGGTGCATTTGGATCATCTTTTGGTAAACAGTTGACACATTTTGCATTTGGACCATGTAAACATTTTGTTTTCTTTAAATAATATAATGAAATATTTATTAGTATTAATTTTAAAACAATTGATAATTTTTATGTATATTTGGTTTTCTTTTTACTTACAATATCACTTTTTATAGCTACTTTGGGTGAAAAACCACCACTTGATGCAATATTATTATTGTTGGTTTCTTGACTGGCCTCTTCTTCTTCTTCTTTACCCATACAATTTACACATGTTGCAGTTGGACCATGATTACATTTATATGATACATTTTTTGGAACTTTAAGACAGTTACTACATTTTCCGCCTGGTGGATGATTACAAAGCCATTTTAATCTTCTACCCTTAAATTTCTTATCTTGACAATTTGGACATGTTGTATTTTCTGGATGATTACATTTCTTTAAACCTTGGGCTTCTGAACAAAATACACATTTATCACCTGGTAGATGTTTACATCTAATTGTTAATCCATTTGGTAATCTATCGTCTATATATTCCTCTTTAATATTGTTATTATTATTATTATTATTACTATTATTATTACTGTTACTACTATTATTGCTGCTTTCTTCATTTGATGATGAGCCAACTAAATATAATAAATCGCCATTTCTTTTTTAAATAAAATATTTAATTAATATTCTTATAGTTGGGCTTTGAATGATTATCTATATAAAAATTTTACTTACTTTATACCAACAGCTGATAATCTATCACCTGCACTTAATGGTGGATCTCTTGGTGATTTAGAAATTGATTTACCATCAATTCCAACACCACTGTTTTTCAACTAAAATTCATATATAAATTAGTAATTTGTTTAAGAATTATAAAATGGTATTGTATACTTACTTTTACAAGTAAATCTTTTACAATTGCTGAGTCGTTAATTTCAACTCTAGTTGTACCACTTGGTCCTCTAATACCAATAATCTAAAGAAAAAAATAAAAAAATTAGTAAATATATTATTAATATTTGTTATCTATTTATTTATCTATTTATTTATCTATTTAAAATCTATATTATTATTATTATTATTATTATTATTATTATTATTATTATTATTATTATTATAATTAACATTATAATGTTATTAATGTTATTATCATATTATTTTTCCAAATTACCATTTTGATATAAATATATTATTTTGAAAAAAAAAAAGTTTGAAAATGTATAGTTAATAAATATTCTAATATTTCTAAATATAAATATGAATAAATGTATATGTGATTAAAAATTAAAAAATGAAATTAAAAAAAAAAAATAAAAATTTAATAAAAAAAAAAATAAAAAAAAAATAAAAAAAAAATAAAAAAAAATTAAAAAAAATTTATTTTGGAGTTTTTTTTTTTATTTAAAAAAAAAAAAAAAAAAAAAAAAAAAAAAAACTATAAATTCTTTGTTCTAGATTAGTTTTTTTAGGGTTTAATTTCTTTTTTTTTTTTTATTATTATTTATTTTTATTTTTATTTTTATTTTAATTGTTTTATTTAGTTTATAACTGTATAAAATAAATGTAATTAAATAAATAAATAAATATATAAAAATATTTTTGGAGAATAAAAAAAACCTAAAAAAAAAAAAAGGAATGATGTGGATGAGTCAAATACCATTTGGATTAACTCTTTGGATCACATAAAAAAAATAAAAGAAAAAAATAATTTGAAAATTAAAAAAAAAAAAAAAAAGATTTTTTTAATTTTTTCAAATTTTTTATGAATTTATTTTTATATTAAAATAAATAATTATTAAAAAATTGATATACATAAAATGGAAAAAAAAAATTTAAAGAGAAAATCGCTAGATACTCAAAAAGCATCACCAATAAATAATACAACTAATAATAATAATAGTGATAAAATAAATGAAAATACTAATAAAAACAGTAATATTAATAAAAATAAAAAGAAGCAAAGAAAATCATTAGAAAATGAAAACAGCAAGGTAGAAAATATTGTTAACAATCAAAATGACCAAGACAAAGTTGTACGTGTCTATGCAGATGGTATTTACGACCTTTTCCATTTTGGTCATGCAAGATCACTTCAACAAGCAAAACAATTATTTAAAAATACATATTTAATAGTAGGAGGTAAATAAAGTTTAATCCATAATGTTTTTGTATTCGAAAAAAAAATTTAAAAAAAGCATCAAAAAGCTAATAATAAATTAAATTACAAATTTATAGTGTGTAATGACGAAATTACTCATAGATTAAAGGGTAAAACTGTCATGAATGGCGAAGAAAGAGCAGAGTCATTAAGACATTGCAGATGGGTGGATGAAGTGGTCGAGAATGCACCATGGATAGTAACACAAGAGTTTATTGATGAACATAATATAGATTATGTTTCACATGGAGAAGATTTATGTTTGGATAAAGATGGTAATGATATCTATCAGTTTGTCAAAGATCAAGGTAAATTCAAAACTATTAAAAGAACCGATGGTATTTCTACATCTGATATCATTTTGCGTATTGTTAAAGATTACGACAGCTATGTAATGAGAAATTTATCAAGGGGTTATACTGGTAAACAAATGAATGTCGGTTTAATAAAAGAGACCTCGCTCCAATTAGAAGAGAAATACAACCAAATCAAATCCAAGGTTAAATTATTATCAAATCAAACCGAACAAAATATTTTATCATTTTTACAAAGATTCTCAAAGAAATTACCAAAGAATTGGGAAAAGATGATTCAGCAATCTCCAACCAGTGGAAGTGATACAAGTAGTAGCAATGGTGATGAAGATGACATTTTAGAAGATGATACTGATGATGTTGCCGACTCTAACATTTCTTCTCCCCCACAAAACGACCCATTATCTCCAACATTATTTTCTATTGCCTCACAAAATTTAGAAAATAACAATAGTAATAGCAATAGTAATAAAAACAGCAAAAAAAAAACAACCACAACAACCACCACATCAAAACCAAAAACAGCAACTGTATAAATCAAACCTAGTATACTAAATAATATTAGTGACTATTTAATAAAAACCTTTTATAATATAAATAGCTTTTTATTTAAATTGTATAATTTTATTTTTTATTTAGTAATTTAAATAAACATTCGGTATAGATTTTGTTTCCAGTTAATAAACTAGTCTCATCAAAGTCAAAGGTACCTTGGTGATGTCCTGCTTTTAAATCTGAACCAATAACGAAATAAATTGCTTTACCATTGTTTTTTTGTACACGTCTTGCTAAAATAGTTGCATCTTCACTTCCACCAAATATACGGGTTTCTATAACTTTTAATTCGCTGTGCTTTGATACAACATCGGATACAAGTTGAATCATTTCTTTGTCATTGGTCAAGTCGACAGCTTCACCCATAATTTCGGTTTCCAGTCTTAAGTCGTGTGACATGGCTGAACCCTTTGCAATTCTTTCTACACTTTCGCACATGAATTTATTAATTTCTTCATTTTCACCTCTGACTTCGAGTTGGAGTTCACCATAGGCTGGTGTAACATTTCTATTGGTACCTGCAGATATAACACCTACATTTATACGAGACATACCATTTCCATGTCTTGGTATTGCTAACATTTGAGTTGCTGCGTTACATGCACCTGCCAAAGCATTCTTGCCCAAGTGTGGCTCGGCTCCAGCATGTGAAGCACTACCATAAAATCTAAAGTCGTATTTGGTAGTACAAAGGAAATTAGTTGGGTTAACTACAACCTCACCACTCTTTGCAATAAAGCCAAGATGCGATGAAAGGAAATAATTGGCATCATCGACAATACCACTTTCGGCCATTGGTCTAGCACCTCTTACACCCTCCTCGGCTGGTTGGAACACTATTTTTACACGACCACATAATGATTGCTTATTTTCAAACAACCACTTTGCAACACTTAACCCTATTGTCATATGACCATCGTGGCCACATGCATGATGGCAATTGGTTGCATTGGATCTAAAACCCTCTTTATTTGGTATGTGCTCTTGTAGTTCACATTCGTGCACACCAACACAATCAATGTCAAAACGAAGTGCTACTGTTGGACCTACAACACCACTATCAAAAACGACAACCATGCCTGTGTATCCCTCCATTTCTTTTAACATTTCTTCATCGACACCATTTCCTCTTGCTTTTTCCAATGCTTTTTCGACTAAAATTTTATTTCTACCCCTAACATAATCCACATTAATCACTTTTTTTCCTAATAATATATCTTGTTTTGCATATCCAATCTTTTTTAATTCTTGATATAAATAATTGCATGTTTCAAATTCGCACCATCCTAATTCTGGTTTACAATGAAGGGATCTTCTCCATTTAATTAATTCTTCCATCACTATTGTTTTTTTATTTTATTTATCAACAAAAAATATTGGATATTTTATAAAAAATTCAAAAAAATTCAAAAATTCAAAAATAAAATTCAAAAAAAAAAAATTTATAAAATACAATGGAAGATAAAACTTTAAATTAAAAACTATAAATTTGTAAATTTAAAAAATTATAAAAAATAAAAAAAAAAATTGAAAAAAATAAAAAAAAATTATAAAATATTAAAAAATTGAAAAAAATTTTATTGGTTTTGTTGTATGGGTTTAGGGTTTGATATTAATTTTATTTTTCCCATTATATAAAAAATTGATTTTAATATATCTGAAAAAAATTCCAGATCACCTCTAAATTTTTGTTTTAAAATGCCTAAACCTGATTTTTGATGGCCAAATAAGTTTTCAATTATACTTCTTTTTTCCTTTAAAACCTTATCCATATAAACTTCTTCATTGGTTGCATCTGGTGGAATAAAATCCTTTCCTCCTGTGAGAAAAAAGTATTCAAAATCTTTTGAAACATAACCTAAATTTGCTAAAACTCTTTCATTTGGTTCTAACTTTTGTTTAACCAAATCTGATATTTGTGAAATTTTTAAATCCTGAGTTGCACCATCATAATAACCTGTAATTTAAAATTTAAAAGTATTAATATTTTAATTTCAAAAAATTCAAATAAATAAATAATTCATACCACTTGCCCAAACAATGCTACCATCAGTATCTACACAAAATTCAAATTTTATTCCATGAAACCCATGCTCTGGTGAATAGTAGAGTTTTTCAAGTTCGTGAGATGGAGAAGGACGTTCTATTTTATAAATACTGGTGTCAACTATTGCGTAAACCAATTTACCCTTGAGTAAAATTGGCTTTGCATTTAATCTATCATTAAAATTCTTTTAAAATATTAGTTAAAATTAAATAAATAAATAAATAAATTAAAATTAACTTACATATGGTTCTTGTTCATAAATTTCACAAACTAATTCAACTACTTTTTTTAAAGCTCTTTGTAGTAATGCAGATGAGTGACCAGTCATACTTGATAATTGTCTAAAAGTTGGGTATTTTTTTACATAGTTCAAATATATCAATAATTCATTCATTTTAAAAGTTGGATCCATATCTTTAAGTTTTAAATAAAATTCTGAAAACTCTTTTTTCGATAGCCAATATGATGATTGAAAATATTCATCACAAATATGGGAAATATCTTCAATAGTTTTTAAACCTTTGTGGCAAATTGACATTATTATAAGATTTGAAAATTAAAAAAAAAAAAAAATTTTAAATTTAAAAAAAAAAAACGAATTTATTAATATTTTTATTTTATTTGTTTTAGCAAATTATATTAAAATTTTATATATAAATCTAAACATTGTTTAACTTTTTTTAAAATTTTAAAAACTATTTCCAATAATTGTTAAAAAAAAATAGTGTTTTATAAATCTAAACATTGTTTAACTTTTTTTAAAATTTTTTAAATAATTTCGTTGCTTAATTTTTTGTTTTTAAAATAATTAAATTCCACATAAAAACTTTTTTTTTAAAAATTTTAAAATTTCCTATAAAAATAAAAATTAAAATTATTTTTTAAAAAATTTATTGAATAAAAAAAACTATAAAATGATGATCACCTCAATGCTGTTATTTCATTAATTAACAAACTAAAAAATAAACAAAATAAATATACACTTAATATTAATAATATTTTAAATTTATAAAATAAATAAAAAAAATCTATATTAAATCAAAAATGGTTAGAATTATTACTAGAAGATCAAGTCACTTACAAAAAAGAAATAGAGTTCAATTATGCAATTTAAATCAAGTTCTTTATGGCTCATCAAATTGTAGAAAAACATCAAATAATATGAATATAAGAAAAAAGGTTTTAAAATCCAAAGATATTCCAAAAATTAAAAAAGAGTTAAATGTAGCCACTACATTAATTCCTACTAAAATTGCTATCATTACACGTTCAAGCAAAACAAATCCAATCTTAAACAACTTTAATTACAATGTCAAAGAAGAACCACAAACAAATAACTGCAGTAATAATAATACATCATCGGTATCATCACAAAAGCCAATACCAAAATCAAAACCAATCATCACCAAAATCTCAATTGTAACACGTTCAAATATAAAAAAAAATAGAGAATTTATTAAAAACTATAATAAATTATTTAAAATATAATACATAATAATACATAATAATATATAATAATAATAATAATAATAATAATATAAATAAAATGTAAATAAATATCTTTGTAAATAGAAATATACACAACATATAATAATTAGTTTTTTTATTTTGGTCACATAAATGTTTAATTTTACAATATTGCTACAATTTTTCATTTGTGTTTTTTTTTTTTTTTAGAATATTCGATAGTTTCTATTATTTTTTTTTTTTTTATTTATTTAAAGACTTAAGGATATATTTGTCCAATCTTCCCAATATATCTGTTCACCTCCTACCACTCACTTTTTATTCTTCATATTTTATCATTTTTTGTCATATATTTTCATTTTTTTACATAAAATTGCATAAATATGACAAAAAATGAAGAATAAAAAAGTGTGTGGTTCGAGGTGTTTGGTCAACCCTTTTTAATGTTTTTACTACTGTTGATTCATTCATTCCCACTAATGACCTCTGTTTTTATAAAAATGAAGATAAAGATAATTTTCGAAATCTATATTTAGTTCAATTTAATGATTATCAATTCAGATTTCAGTTTTTCATTTTTTTTTTATATTTAATAAATAACAAGATAAAAACTTTAAATTTTCTATAACTTTGTTTTTTAAAATAGATATCTGTTGTATTAAAAAATAACATCCCTAATTTCTTTTTTTTATTTTTTTATTTTTTTTTTTGGCTATAAAAATTTGGTGGCTTTTGAAAAAAAAAAATTTTCAGCGAATCTTAAAAAATAATACGATATGATATTTGTCGCCAACAAGGGCCAAATGATATCATTTCAGGAGGGAATATCTGAAAATCAATACAAAAAAATTTCACACCTAATTAATAGATAATAAAAAAAATTCGTTAGGATCTAAAATTAAAAAAAAAAAAATTAAAAATAAAAAAAAAAGGTGGGGTTATATATATTTTTATTTTTTTTTTTAATTTTTATTTTTTTTTTTTTTTTTTTTAATAAATCCAATATTCAATGTAATTCGATAAATGCCACCAAATAATTACATTGAATATTGCTTAAAATAAAATGATATCTTCCCTAAATAAAATACAAAAAATAAAATTAAAAAAAAGTATAAATAAAAAAAAAAATTTTAATTTATATAACAAATTAGAAAGAAACATATAAAATAAATAAAAGAAAAATGGAACCAATAATTGAAAAAGATATTAATGTTTGGTATATTACAGGTAATATTAATATATTTAATAAAAAAAATAAAAAAAATAAAAAAAATAAAAAAAATAAAAAAAATAAAAAAAAATAAATTATATTAACCACAATTTTTTTTTAAATTTAGGATGCACCAGCGGTGTTGGTTTAGGATTAGTCGAAAAACTATTAAAAAATCCAAAAAATAGAGTTACCGGTACAAGTAGAGATCTCAAAAAAATTGAATCATTAGCTATTTCATCAAATCCAAACTTTTTAGGTATTCAAGTTGATATTTTAAATGAAGAAAATGTTAAAGAATCTGTTGAAAGAACCATTAAGCATTTCGGTGATTTAACTCATGTTGTTAATAATGCAGGATATGGTATTGTTGGTGCTGTTGAAGAAGGCTCAGCCAAGGAATATCAAGATCTATTTGAAACCCTCTATTTCTATCCATTAAGAGTAATTAGATCTGTTTTACCACATATGCGTTCAAAGAAAAATGGTTATATATTTAACATTAGTTCAGTTGCTGGTTTTAATGCCCATGGTTTCTTTGGTGCCTACAGCGGCGCTAAATTTGCAATGGTCGGTACCTCACAATCTTTAGCCGATGATGTTAAACCATTCAATATTAAAGTTGCATGTGTAATTTTAGGTTATTTCAAAACCAATTTCCAAACCAATATGGTCACTGATGCTGGTTTTGTTAAAAATTTAATTCCAGAATATAACACAAAACAAATTTGGAATCAATTTATTACTCCAATGTTAGAGAAATTAGTTCCAGGTGATGTTAATAAGTTTGCTGATTTAATAGTTGACCACTATGCAGTACAACCACAATTACCATACAATTTATTCATTGGACCAAAAGATGGTGCTTTTGACCCTTCATACTTAAAGATTAAAGAACTCGAGCAACAATTAGACTCTCAAGTTGAATTAAATTCAAATGTAGTTTTAAATTAAATTAATTAAATTTTACAAAAAAAAAAAATAAAAAAAATAAAAAAACTTAATTTTCTGTAAAACAAACCCATAGTATCAATTGTTTTAATTATAATTTATTATTTTTATATTTATATTTTTTTAAATAATATTAAATCTCTAACATAATGATTTAATAAAATGCATATGAAATAACAATACTTTTTCAAAATATTTAAATTTTAAAAAAGGAAAAAGAAATAAAAAAAAGACACTTTAATAATTTAAATTAATAAAAAAAAAAATTTAGATTTATTTACATAGTTTAATTTTTTTATATAAAAAATTAAAATTTAAAATATTTGATCGATCAAATAATTTAATTGAAAAAAAAAAAAAAAAAAAAAAAAGTATAGTTAAATTAAATTAAATGTATATATGGATGGTGGGTTAGATTTCTAGTAGTACTCGATAATATCTTTGATTTCACTTCTGCATAGAGGACAAAGTGAGAGTTTCTTAGCACAGACATTACATATACAACTATGTTTGCAAGGTAAAAGCACAGTATTAATAGACAAGTCGACACATACAATACAGTTCTTGGTGTTGTTGTTTGAATTTTCATCTTTTTCTTTTTGAAGTTTATCGAGCTGACGTTGCAAAACTTCTTGTTTGGCAATGCCAATCTTCTTTAAGCTGTTGTGATAAAATTCTTCGAGTTTATCCAAATCTTGTAATGATAAATCAACTAAAGAATTACCTAACATATGCTCTAATGAAACAGTATCTCTTTTGACTTGATTGAATAGTATCTCTTTAGCTTTATTTAATTCTAGATTTCTAACTCTTTGTTGCTCTAATTGTTTCTTTAACTCTAAAGTCTCCTTTTCTAAATCCTCCACTCTAATTTCTAATGTTTTATTTACAATATTTTCTTTTGTTAACTAAATTTATTAAAAAAAAAATTTTAAATTAGATGATAATGTTATTTAAATTATAAATTAAAATAATAATAAAACTTACTTTTAATGACTGTAAATCATTAATATTTGATAAATTTGAAAATTGAGCTAAAATTTGAATGACTGTATCTTTTTTCTCTAGAAAAGCTGTGTCTTTTATATTACATTTAATTTGGGTTAAAATTTCATTATACGATTGAAGAATATTTTCTTTTTCTTTTAAAGCTGACGTTATTTTGTTGAGAGAGTCTTGGAATTTGGTTTTTTGACTTAATTCTTTCTTGTAGGCAGCGTCTATTTTTGATAATTCTTTTTCTAAATTTTCGATTTTTGATTGTTCTTCTAAAGCACTTCTAATTGCCTCAGCCCTATCTAATTTGGTTTTCATTAGTTCATTTGATAAATTTGATTTTTGATTTTGTTCTAAATTTAATAACGATAGAGCATTATTTAATTGGGTGGATAAATGATCTGTTGATAAATTGGTTGGATGATTTGTACATTTACAGCAATCACTATTTATATTATTATTATGATTGGTGGCGGTGGTAGTGGTAGTAGTGGTAGTAGTATTTGGTATGGTGCTTGTATTCATTGGTGATAATGGTATTGGTGTGGTATTTTGTGATGAAAGTTCCAATGTATAATTTGGAACTGAGTAGGTGATTTCTTTTTGTGTTGGGTTTGGTGTATTGGCATTGGTGGTGGTTGATGTGGTGGTGGTAGTATTTGCAGTTGGTGGTGCTGAAACAATTTGTTGTGGTAATAATGGTCTTAAATCCAAATTAAACATATCGCTATATAATAGACCTGAAGAACAACCACCAAAAGTGATCATTTCGCCGCTATCTAATAAATTTGAGGAATGTTGAAATCTATTGAATAAAACTAAATCCACAACTGTTGTTGGAAACCATGTAAAAGTTGAAACATCTAAAATATGTACATCGTTGAGAATTGCTGTTTCAAAACAACCACCATGAATAACTAAATATCTTCCATTGACCAAAACTGATGAGTGGCCATTTCTTGGTGAAGGTGGAATTCCTTTTGTGATAACTTTGCTCCATGATAAATCATTTACATTTAATGCATGTAAATCGTTAAAGGATCTTTTACCGTCGAAACCTCCAAAATATAATATTATGTTCTTGTCTTTGATAAAATCTGCTGTATGTGCTGAACGATGAGATGGTGATGTACCTTTAGTTGGTGGTTTAATCCATTTAATTGTTCCTGTTTGTAATCTTGGTATCTCTAATATGAATAAACTATTTAAATATTTTGATTGATGGTTACCACCAAATAATATAATTCTCGAATCCTGTCCATTTTTACCTGGTACGAATGTGCATGTATGTCCAGCCCTAGTATCTGGTACATTTTTACTAAAATGAAATGTACTCCATGACATTGTTTCTAAATAATAATAAAAATCATTAGATTATTATTATAAAAACCAACTAAAACCTAAAAAAACTAAAATACCTACTTAAATCCAATGAAAATAAATCATTAACATATTTTTTACTTGTTTTACCACCGAAAACTATAATTTTTAAATTTGTTGGATCATTTTGATCCTCAACTAATGTTGCACTATGACCATATCTACCTGATGGACCTTTATCTAATGTATTTACTTCTGACCATATACTTGTAGTTGAGTCATATACCACTGTGTTTGAATATAAGGATTGTCCTTGACCTCCGAATAAATATATTTTTTTACCTATTGACACACTTGCATGTCCCCATCTTGCTTCTATTGAATATACTCCTCCTCCAACTTTTGCACCACTTGAAAACGTTAACCTAGTTGCTTTTAATGAAAAACGAGATTTATCTAAAATAAAATAAAAAATACAAAAAATAAATTACATTATTAATAAAACTGTAAACTATACCTATTTATTTTATTTATCTATCTATTTTTCCCTATGCTGTATTCATACCATCCATTTATTTTAAGATTTTTCTTCTTTACTTTATTTATATTTATCATAAAAAAAAAATATTTAAATACTGTTGTGTTATTGTTATGATTTATCTATTTATTTTTTTTTTGGTAATGTTTTTTTTTTCTTTTAGAATAAAAAAAAAAATTATATTATTATT